TATAAGAAGTTGTACACTATATATATAGTACACTATAGTACAGTCATAATATGATTTAAAATTAAAAGATTAATCAAAAGTCTGCGAAAATTACAAATTTGTTCTTGATTCCACAAGAGAATAATATTATTGCGAACTCAGCACCAGGAAGAGAATAATATTATTCAACACCAGGAAGCTAAGCTTAATCGTAAATGAATCATCAATTGATCATAGTTATAAACTTTAGTGACCTCGTAAAACGTAGACACTAATTTTCTCTCGTTGATATCACGTGACCTGCACCAAGCCTTCCAACTGGCTACATAGATCATTGTGAGTCTGTGGGCTTGGAGTGGTGATTCACATGCTTATTCTTCAGTAGTCAACCCATCCTTTGTTGTTCGTTGGACTCTGCGGTTGGCTCTTCTGAAAGTGATATCATAGGTTGTATGGGTAAACAATAATTAATTTTATTGAATTCATGAATTGGGAAACTGACGATTTGATCAAAGGAGTTATTGCAACAATGTAAATTGTAAATCGAACTAATTGTCACGTATGGAAAATTGTTTCTCTCTTACTGTGTTTGCTTGTAACGGTTCCTTCTTCCAAAATGTCCACCTCTGATTTCTCTGAGAAAAAGTGCTTGTTTCAACTGGATCTAAACTATAACATATTAAAGTTTAATACCAAGAAGCCACTAATTAAGTGGTTTAATGTTTGATGGATTGTAAAGAATCGTTTAACACCGAGATTATTCTTCATCCGACCCTAAAATAAATTGCAGACAAATTAAAGTAAAGTAAAAATATTTTCATAAATCATGGATTAAAATTAACCTCTTGTTCGCCTTCCCTGACGTTCATGTAGATGTGATCGTCAAGTTCTTGTGGATCTGATGAACTAGAGGTCGAAGAAGAGGCCGGTGGCGGTGATCGAGGGGGTTCAATTATCTCGTTATATCTCTGCGATTTTACATATATTTAGTCCTCGAGGCCTGACCAAAACATATCGTTTTGGATGGATATAAGATACAAAATAAGATATATGAAATTCTGAAAATTACCAGTTTATACTTACTGATTCTGGCACTGTATAAAATTGTGATCCATCATTGTTGTGACCATTATATTGGTGATCAGCCCTCGGAAGGTTTTCATAATCATTCAAAACTCTCCACTCCTCCGAATCTGATTCTTGTTCACTTTCTAATATCTTATTTCTGGTTATCGTTCTCCACAATCGTTGAAGATGTGCATCGCCTGTTGGAATAGTGTCTTCATCATCAGGGACATCATCAACTACGGAAGATTCTTGGAAAACTTCCCCTTTTTCATGCGGAGATTCTTGTGTCTTATCTGATTCTTCTCTCGCGAATAAGGTATTTTTTATCTCAATGGATCTATCAATAACTTTCTCAGCGCCAGATTTAGTTGTCCCAAAAGCCTCCTTCGTCGTAACAATGAAGGATTCAATGAAATGACTGGATTTAGAGGATACACTGTCAACACTTGAAACACTTTTTCCATCGGGCTTAGTTTCGTTCTTCGTTTCTGATTTGTGTGAAGACAGTTCTGATTTTTCTGACAGTGGTTCATCTATTTCTTCTACAACCGCCATCTCTGGAACTGTGTCTATTTTTAAAGATGTTCTCGAAGAAGTCCGAGATGCTTCGCTTAATTGTTTCTCAATTTTTTTTGTTGAGTTCTTCCGTTTATTTTTGTTACCAAATCCAAATGCTAACGCACTGCTTTTACGTCTTTTCTTTTTTTGCGGTTTTGCTGGTTCATGTACATTGTCTGGCAGGTCTTTTACATTATCTTCTTTTATCATTTCACTTTCATTAGCTGGTAGCTCTTCTTTGTTATCTACACTTGTATCTTCTTTCTCCTGGTAATTCACTTCCTTGTCCCCTGATGAATTTCGTCCTCTTCCAAATGGATGAACTGGGATATCTTTAGAAGCATCATCGACAACTTCGACCGTTTTATTCGCCAGTTCCACAGTTTTATCAACGACCACATTAGCACTTTCCACTGTTTTATCAACGACGGCAGTTGCACCTTCCTTAGTTTTCTGTAATGTAGCGTCACCAATCTCAACTGTTTTTTCATACGCTTCATTAGCAGCTATTTTGGTCCTTTCTAAAGTTCTGTCTTTTATTTCTATTGTTTTATCGACAACAGTAGATGTACCATCTATGACTTCTTTTCTTGTTGCATCAATGGCTATTTCGGCGCCAGCTTTCTGAACACCGTATGCTTCCTTAGTGGTTTCCCAAAATTCTTCTACGAAATTGATGCTTGAAGTCGTATCTGCATCAACATTGCTGTCACTTTGTTCTTCATTATTTTTTTCATCTATCTTTTCGTCCGTCTCCAAGTTGGCTTGAATTTCTCCTTCGACATCAGAAACAACAGGACTAATAGATCCGCCCAACTTTTTCTTTGAACGTTTTGTGCCAAACCCAAAAGTTACTCCCGAATCTCGGCGCTTTTTCTGTTTAGAATTCGTAGACTGTTTGTACCTCTGTCTCACTGGAGGTGGTGATGGTGGAGGGGGGATGTCAGACTCTGGCTGCTCTATCTCCTCTTCCACGGACACGTGCCTGTCTGCCTCATTGCCCTCCGGGTCAAATTCAGGGGACACCGTCCTAACACTAAAATGAGAAAATTGACTCAGCTGGATTTTCAGGTAAAGGCAAAACGATTGCATACAATCTGTATCGTGGGTTGTCTGATTTTCGTTGTTATTCCGATTTTCGTTTATGTTTGTAGTTTCTGGTGGAACCCATTCTGTGGTTTTTTCATTTAATCTGAAGATTTCATCCTTTTGTTGATTTCTTACTGCTTCCATACGCTCATCTTCCCTGACCTTATCTTGTAATTCTTCCTCGGTTTTGGGACGAACACTTAATTTCAGTCCTGCTTCGAAACTGCGAGGCTTTTGATCACTTTCGCTAGATATTGATGAAAAGGGCAACGATTTTCTTAAGTTGTCTCGTTTCTCTGCCATTTTTCGTTTCATTTCGCTGGTATCGACATTTATTCGCACACCCGTTGTGCCAGTACAATCAACTGTATAACTTCCACTCCCATCGGAATCATACTGTAATTCACTAGTACTAGTAGGTTTTTCTTCAGTTTCATCGATTGTTTCTATTGGCGTTGGTTCAAATTCTGGTTTCTGAAAATTGTTTTAAGTTAATGTTTTTGTCAAATTTAACAAAAGTAATTATTATTATATCTCGCCAAATCATTTGTTTACATTGCATACCATTTTGTACTTCAATTCCATTTATAATCCGGAAATTATTTAACACCCAACCCCACGCCATTAGACTTTGACCAATAGCCCAAAAGCTAGCAGAATCATCTCCTGCCCCCGTGCCCCGACACGGGAATTGATGAAATTATTTGCAACTTACCTTCTTTTTCTTTTTCCGATTGCCAAAACCAAACTGAATAGAGTTGGATCGCTTTTGATCGGTGGTATATCGAGAACTTGTTGCTGTCGAGGTAGATGATTGATCCTGACAGTATTAAGAATATTGGAGGATCAGGGCCAATTGTAAAGTCTCATGATATTGTACAATGTACATGAGTAGCACTTGCACTAGGGTTTGTACTATTTCCAGGATAAAAAAGTAATAAAATCCTAACTAAAGTTAAACTGCATTACAGTGAATTTAATGGTTTGACGAAGCAGAAAACAAATACCGAGCTATCTTGTTCAATGTCAGTACTAGTAGGCTCCTCTGGTTCAGGTAATGGTTCGTCATAAACTCCAAACTTGTAGTGACATTCCAGCATTTTTGTTTCTCCCATCGAGATTGTACTGACACTCATGTTGGGGTCCCTTGCAATAACTGCAAAATTGATGTATGATTTTACCTATTTTAATCTATCTCATGGGATATCAACACAAATTTGTCGTATTTTTTTTGCTAATTTAAATGCTAACATCTCATTTTGTTAAATTGGTGATGACTAATAAAATGATGAAATTGTGTTTTCCTACTTTCCCCAATAATTCCTGATATTACCGAGCAAGCCCTACAATCTACATCTGAAAATTTAAAGTCTGCAAAATGGATGCATGATTTTCCTTATTTCGTCTGGTAAGTATGGTAAGTGTTACAAATATTTGGCTACCTTACTCGGGAATATTATAGCAGGTTAATTTATGACTGGGAAAATTAATGACCGGGAAAAATATGGCGGAATGTTCCAAAACCCACCAAGCATCAAAGTGTATTACTATTAGTTTACCTTACTCGGGAACATTATAGCGGGTTAATTTATGACTGGGAAAATTAATGAACGGGAAAAATATGGCGGAATTTTCCAAAACCCACCACTTTATCCCAGTCATGATATTCCCGAGTAATGTAAGTGAGATTCATTATTCGCTAAGATTTAAAAATGGTAACTGGTACCTGCGGTCCCGGTTTCATCATTACTCTGTTCACCTGAGCTGCTAACCATCCTCCCTCTCTTCTTTACACACTTTACAAACTTACATAAAACTATTAAAATGCGGCAAAACAATCATGCTAGACATGCAGACAGTGCAGTATACAGTGTACAGTGTATACAATTGAAGACTTTTTGTGTATATTATTCATCAAGACTTAATCTGCCAACTTCGATTGTAAATTTCAACTCCAGTCGTCCTATCAAAACAGGGTTTTTGTCGATTTTATAAATGGAAATAATCGGGGGCAGTGGAGACAGAAGAGGTAGTATCATAATTGAGAGTCAATTAGTGCTGATTGCCCCACCTAATCGTTGAAAGTGAAATACATTTCCATGCCAAAGTCGTAGGCAAATATGTTCATGCATAATGCATATACATGTATAGAAGCCGGCCCATTTCCCTAAAAGCTAAAATTGATGACTGACGAATCCTCTCTCCGTTTTACAATCTTGCTTTAAGATTGGGAAAACTTCGGTGCTCGAAATATTATAAATTTATCAAGCATGAAGATGACAAATAAGACAAATTTATCTTGCTTGGTTAGGATGTTATAAAGTTCAAACACATCCAAAGTCAATATAAAATAGTATTCCAAAAGTATAATTTTTTATCAGAAAAACTTTAGAAACCTCCTTTTTAAAATCTTTCGTGGCTGATGGGGTAAAGAAAACGTGTATTATCTGCATCTCAAAATTTCTTCATTCATAAACAGGTTAGGTGTTCATAAATTCTTTCCTCGAAAAAAGTTTCAAGATCATTAACCTTACACATTGTCATTATAACATCATTAATCGGACTTAAACATCCGCGTATGAAACATGAATCGTGACTCTTGTAAAATGCTGTTATTCACTCCAAGTTAAACTCAAAAAGTCCTTCATTATTATTGGTGAGAGTTCATCACATACCGCTGTGCATGGTGGTAATCTCAGTTATAGTGCTCGAATCACGTGACGTCACAGATCACGTGACATCACATACCGCTGTGCATGGTGGTAATCTCAGTTATAGTGCTCGAATCACGTGACGTCACAGATCACGTGACGTCACATACCGCTGTGCATGGTAATTGGCTATCTTTTCAACTATCTCATAAAATAACCCCCTCTAAACGTTGTGTTAAATCGTAAAAATCAGTTCCCCTGTTTAAGTCTCTCAATCCACACCCATCAGCTTTTCTTCACCGCTGTCGATAGCGTTGCTGTGTTTTAAACGGTGCTGTTTGGCAACTGCTAACGTTTTCATTGCGATTCTTTGACTCACCTAAGGTTGTTATATTTTTAATTATTATCCGTCAACCTAAAAATCTACTTAACATCATGACCGGTTATTTTATAAGCCGGCCAGAATAATTAGTTAGTTAAGCGGGAAGTAGCGACTGTGGCTAACTCACACCGCGTTTCACAAGTGACATTTAGATATGATAGCTCAGTACCGTTTGGTAAGACAAACCATTGTAAAAAACATACAAAGACGTAACGTCAATAGTTATGAATATAATCTTGCAGTTTTAAGGTATTTAAAAAATCAGGGAAAGTACAGGGAAATCTGATCCTTTATCCTAGCAACTAGTCCTAGCTGACTAGTCACCATGTAGTAGATAAACAAACCTCAACAAGTCGTCTCTGATAGGCAGCAGCTAGCTCTCTGATAGCGTTGAAGACAAGGGACACAAGGACCAACCCGACACAGAAGACGAAGAGTACTCTTATCAACGCCAGATAAGAGTGATCTATCAATGTTATGTCTCCGAAACCTACAGGCGGGTTATTCAATCATCATTACAATTATGTTTATCGTATCATTATTATTTATTTATAATTAATTAATTAATTATTTTTATAATTATGTTTATCATATTAGGCCCACCCTGTATTTAACCCATAATGTTATAATGAGTGAAGCCGAAGAAATTAATCCAAAGTACCGCCTAAAATAGTTTATATGCTTCCCTCATAGCACCTTTGAAGAGCTAAGCTTAGCATGATCGTGATATTCTCATTTGTCAAGCATACGAAACAAGAATCACACAATGATCAAAGATCTTCAAACTCACCGACTGTAGTCATAGTTATTACATAAAAGTATAGGGATTGTGGAAAGGAGTCGTTTTCCTTATTTTGAAGGTGCATTAGGGTAGCCATGACCAGAAGATAACTGCAGAGGAAGAGGAGGGATACCCATAAGACTATCATCTGCTCCACCACATCTGGCATCCTCTTTAGATTAGATAGCTTCCGGATCGTCTTTATTATCTGAAACGATACCTTCATAGCTTGAAATTCTCGCGTTATCATGCATTTCATCACAGCTGAACGTTGAATATAATACAGGTTTAATTTGAGAATAAGCGCATGTCTAAAAAGTAAAACATGTTGAGAACTTACTTGTCTGAGAACGATTAAAATGCATGTAGAGAAAATGTTAAGATAGCTCATCATTAACAACATGCCCGGGATTGTATAGATGATAACAAAAAGTTTTCCTGTCTCGGTTCTTGGTGCCATACCACCATACCCTGCCAGGGTTAATCTTTCGTTATTGTGTTCAAACAAATGTAGGTATTATACCATTAAGATTAGTGTGTCACCTAGTCTAGGGAGTAGCTAAGGATCCATTGGATCTATGCGATCTCCTCGGTCGACTCAGCCGAATGATAGGAAACTTGATTGAGGGTTAAATGAGGGGGGTACCTGTTAAAAGTTCAAGAAACCTCTCTAGGCTACCCCCTCAGTACATACTGTAAACATAGTACTATTAACTATTAACTATTACTGTTGAAGGGCACTCAATATAAGAAACCTTCTAATTTAATAATCCGAAGATTGAATATTGTGAACTTCATAATTTTCTCATCAATGGTTTTTTAGGGTTCACTTACCTATCGTAGAAACTATTGTGGAAACGAAATCAAAACTCGTCCAGAAATTCCACATGTTCGCGTCTGTTTCAATGTTGTCAGTCTTAAAACACCTTGAATCATAAGTTAATTATATTTAAGATAATCAGGGGAACCAAATGCTAAAATACAACACTTGAATCTCCAATAGAACCTTAGTAACCAAAACCTTAGTAACCTTAATAACCTTAGTAACTTTAGTAACCTTAGTTATTAGTAACATTAGTAACCTTAATAACGGGCTGAAAACTGTTACCTCATGTAGTAGAGATCCTTCATAACAACGTGGAGCTGATCGTATGTAAGTCTATCATAAGTCTTATTGTCCGGTCTCAATGATCCTTCTACAGCTGTGGAAAGAACAAATTAATTGTTAGATAAATTATAATATAAAATAATAAAATAGATAAACCTTCACGATATAACATAAACGATGGTCAATAATGGGATGAAATTAGTTTTTCCAAGCGGTAAATTAAATAATAAATTGAAGTTTAATAACACCACTTTTAAGATAAAACTTATACTCAGCATTGTTTAATCTAAACATCCCAGAAAAGTGCTTGAAGAAGATAAGGTAACGTATGCTTGAAAATATATCGTCAATATCTAACTTAGATAGTGAGTAAGAAAATCTCGATTGTAGACGTTAAGTTCCGTTATGTTCTGAGCTTTTTCTCCTGAAAATGTAATATTTTTAGTTGATCTTTACACTATAGGTTTAACCGTCCAGTTAGCCGTCCACTTCTAGGAAAACTAGGATCATCAAAATTTACATAAAGAGCGACAAAAAATAAGAGCTTGAAATATAATATCTTATTCTTTATCTCATTTCAGATAGTCTCACTCAAAATCCCTTTTTGAAATAAAAAACAGAATTAAACACCAGACAACCATATTTATATTGTGTTTATAAACACAATAAAAAACCTGTTTCCAAGATTTTGAAGACATGAGCTCCAACACAAATGTGCGTGACCAGAAGGAGCAGCAAGATGAGCGAGTACCACACCTTCGTGTCTACTTTTCCGAAGAATCCGAAAATAGGAGCCATGACCACCACCTGAAACGGAAAAAAAACTTTAGTTTTCTAAATAATAAAAATATAATAAAAAACTTTAGTGTTTATATTAGACGAACCATGTGATTTACTATTACAGTAATTTATTTTAGATCAGGTGCACAAGCTTCTTGACAGTTTAGATTTAGTTGTAACATTCCCTTTAACACAGCATCTCCAAACAAGTTGTATCGTTAGCCAGCGCATGTGGGTCCTTGCACGATAATATTAATTAATATGATACGAATGGGTACACCCTGACACCAATCAACCACCTTTTGCCACCTTCAACCCCTTAATTGCTCTATAGCAACAAGGACACTTTTACACGTTATCAATAGCAGTATAATTGTCCATGTTATAAGGTACATTTAGACAGTTGATTTTACCGAGGGACGTCACACTTGGGACACGTCTAGATCTATGATGGTCACAGATCTGGTGTCCCAAGATATTTTAATGAACATTATGAAGAAGCAAATGGTATATTACGGGAAGTATGGTACAAAGTTCTGATGAATAGTTTTGGTACTAATTCTGGGAGGCCCTGTAAAGTGCAGCTACTGAACGCTCTTCAAAATATAAAAATGTTAACATTCTTTCTGGTACAAACATTAAGTAAAGTAAGTATAACCTTGGTCAAGCGAATCGGAATAGGACTTCGTTACGGATGAAAAAACGGTCAACAAGTTATACAGAAATAGATTTCTCCTCCTTCAAATTGGTCCATAATTTGTTTGAAACGTTTCGCTTTGCCCACAACTTTGCTTTGAAGGCTAATATATGTTATGGTAATTAAACATTTACTGCAATTAATTATGCAATTTATACATGATCAATGCTCCCGAAAGTAACTTAAGTACTGAACGTACTTAAATAGTGAATAAAGTTGTCGTCAGTGCAGCAGAACAGAATGGGTTAGTTCGGCGAGTAATTGGCTGCAACGGGAAGAAATTAATCGCTCGTTCTTTTAATATCGTGCATGTATTATTTTTGCAAGACTTTAATTAGTCCTGGTAAACAAATTACCGATTCAAATGGCTGCTTTACAGAATAATAATATTGAACAACGCAACATTTACAGCTATAGTATCAGTCTCATGCCATTAAGACCTCTTTCTTACAAGCCATGAGCTCGCACCATAATACAATTTTTCTTGAAGACTTTGGAGGACATCCAACTAACCATGTTAGCTGTTTGGGTACATATTGCAGAGCTTATTAATAATAGCAATTTAAAACACATATTAACTTAATTAGCAAGTTATTTTGATGACAGGAGACAGATAAGGATCTACTTTACCATGGTCGGGTATTGGAGAAAGCTAGACCACCAGTCAGTGTTATCAGAGTTTAAACTACTCAGTGAGCTCTCTGGACTTTCACATTGGAGGTGAGGATCCGGTTTGTTATTGTGTCCTGACCGAGTGTACTTTTGTCCTGACCGAGTGCACTTGTGTCCTGACCGAGTGCACTTGTGTCCTGACCGAGTGTTTTTAAGTTCTGAGCAAAATGTTCCATCCTCCAGAGCCTCTTCAACGTTCTTTACCCGTCTGTTTATGCTTTTGTTTTTACCATCATGGGTTCTCGTCACAAACTCGATGTCTTTTTTGTTGACAATGCTGAGGCGCACGAACGTATTCATGATGTATTCACACCGGTCTGCTGCTGTTTCTGGTCTTCTTGCTAATATCTCTTCTACAGAAAGTCGCAAGTATCGACTCCGAAAAACAATAGCATAATAGAATTTAAACCCACGAGAAAAAAGGTTACAGAACCATTAAAACATAAAGCCGTTAAATATTATCCTATATACAAGGGTGTAGGGCGGCAAGCTTGTATGCAACGGCATTTAACTATTTAATAGGGCTTGTGCGCCTGTAAAGCGTAGTGTTATGAATAACCAGATAAGCCAATATATAGATTGGACAAGGTGGCCATCAAGAATTGCTAATTCATGTCTCCTAATAAAATAATAAGCCCAATGCCTGATACGTGCCAATAGGAATTAGGAGTGTCGGCCTAATAATTTAATGCATTAATTTTGCAGCTTGCATGTTCAAGACCTGGAAGCAGTAATTTCAGATTAATTTAGAATGTAGTAATGCAGTCAAGAAGTTAGGTTCAACTTACGTTAAACTAAGGTCAAATATGAGTTGAACTAGAGTCTATATGGTTATTTAGAGTTATTAATGATAATGTTCTAGTGGACTGTTAGAGCCCGTACGAGGCAAATCGTGTCGCACAAAGTCAAATTCAACGTGACTTGTAGTGGAGAATACGTGCTTTTATCCACTATAATTACATTGTGTGGAAGTGAGAACGTTCGTAATTACGTGAGATAAAATTTGAGATAGCTACTTTGGTTATTGTAATCGGTTTTATATAATCTTAAGAATAATCATGCTAATGGTCGTGGGTCGGTGGATATTTGCTGCCACGTGGCTCGTCTAAATTATATACCAGTAGTTGTTGCTGATAGTGATACAATTGTTGACAGGAGTCGTTTAATTGCAATAATATTTCTATAACCGTAAACGTCACCCCATATTTGGTGCGAGCATGACTCGGGCCAAGTCTCATATGATGGGTTGTTTTCAGTTACTTAAGTATTGAATTTACCAAGATCAGTTTATCAAGGTACGGACAAAACTAAAACTGTTTAGAGCAACCCATAATATATATAACAAACACAAAAGATGCACATTTGATTGCCAGGCTAGGAACCATCCTTATGGTTCCCTGTAGTTGTACCTCCTGCGATTGTCCAGTTACCATGTATCAATGGGCAGCTGTTGGATAAACCGAAGTGAAATAAGTATATACTTGTTTTCTCTATATATAGATACATAAATCTATATATTATATACAGGGTGGGCCAAAAGTCAGTACCCATACGTTGGGTCTTATACCTCCGCTGTGTTTTATATTTGAGAGTTGTTGCTTTGCAGATGGCATACTGTACGGTCTACTTGTTCGAGGATTCCGTCGCCAAAATTTGAAAATTTGAATATTTTAAACCACGCCCATTCAATATTAAAACACCTATATTATTATTGTTCATTCTGAACATGCTGGACGCCTAATTTTTTCGGATACGGTAGATTGTTAAATGTATATTACATAGATATGTGGTGCTTGATACTTTAGTACCAGTGGAGGCCTTGGAGGATGCCTCATTTATTGTAGAAACGTACAGTATTCCAAGGTTAGTTCGTGTTAGCAGTGTCATGCTGGCTGCAAGATAGCAATATGATTTTAGCTAATCCAATTAATTCCTCACAGTCGAGATGGTACAACGATATAATAACCCTCGGTAAACCGTTTTTATCATCTCAATTAGTAAATTAATCAGTTAGTAATTAAGTGACCCCATTTGTTTTGAATTCATTTAAAAGAAAGCAAAGAATACGTTGAAACTTTACCATAACCCTAAAGAATGTGATCAATAACCTGGATAACCCTAAAGAATGTGATCAATAACCTGGATAACCCTAAAGAATGTGATCAATAACCTGGATAACCCTAAAGAATGTGATCAATAACCTGGATAACCCTAAAGAATGTGATTAATAACCTGGATAACCCTAAAGAATGTGATCAATAACCTGGATAACCCTAAAGAATGTGATCAATAACCTGGATAGCCCTAAAGAATGTGATCAATAACCTGGATAACCCTAAAGAATGTGATTAATAACCTGGTTTCTCATCGTCCCACACAGCTTCGCCTCCTCTTCCTGATCCTCTTCATAACTCATCTCCCTGTAACCATTCTCAGCTACATGACCATCATCCACTGTCTTCTCATCGTCCGAGCCCGACGACAAACTTTCCACCGGATGCTGACCCCTGAACCAACCATGCTCTTCCTCCCTCGGGTTCTCCTCGTAGTATTTGTCCCTGATGTAGACTATGTCCGCAGTGGAGATGGTGCTCAGCCGGGTAAATGTATTCATCTGCTCATTGGTTTCCAGATCTGAATATGATCACAAAGCTAAGTATGTGATCTTATCGGGTCTTTATCAAGTTGTTTTTAGAGCAGTGCTAGACGTCCGGACCCCGCTAGATCTCTAGACTTGAGTAGACTTAGAGAATAGTCACTTATCGTTCAGCTGAATAATCTGTTGTCTGGTGGTTGAAATCCTCAAACTTCCACTTGATTGAAGTTGATAATTGATGTTAAAAATAAAAGTTTAGAAACAATGTTATCGAAAAGTTCTGCGACAATTACAATTCGACTCGACAGAACTATGGAGACTAGCATGCAAGCAGATGTGTTCAAGCAAGAATTATAGGGAAGCTAGGCTAATTTTGAGCCGGGTGGCACAAACGAATTCTCAGAATCAGCCTGTTTAAACGAAGGTTGTTTGACAAAGATGACGGCCATGTTGAAAAAGTCACGTGACCAACATCACGGCCATGCTGAAAAGATCACGTGGCCGTGCTATGAAACGATATTGAACTTATTCTATTCATTGCCATTTGCCTGAGCATGACCCACGATGAGGTGCAAATTCACGTGCGTTGAGAATGGAGTATTTTGTGATTTGGTATATTGGATTAGGTGGAATGATGTGCGGAGGTGCATGCAGGTTGTGAGCATTTAGGTGGGGAGGCCGTATTGTTGATATGTAGATATCTAAACGGTTCTCCTAATTGTTAATTAACCCTTTTGTTTTATAGTCTGTCTGAGTCGATAAAATCTTAAATAATAATAATTAAGCGATTACGTGAGACGGTCGCTCATGCCTGAATAACTTTCTCGACCCTTCTAAATTCTTGGATCAAGAAGGAAATAATCATGAAGGTTTTATTTTAGCAAACATTTCTAGCTCGTAAAAATTCGGCCATTTTGTAAACTGTATTGAGGTATAAAGCACAACTAAAACTGGATTGAATTTGGTCTTCATTATGATCATGGGCAAAATCTTCATGAAAAATCTTGATTCTCGACAGATGTGCATTGTGCACTGTGTGCACTGTGCACTGTGCACGTTACAAATCATATGAATAGGCGTTTGTTTCAAAACGAGGTTTGCTAAATTAGCTAATTCTGTCTAAAAAAACGAGTCCAGACACGTGGCATTGCTAGACATTAAGACATGCTGGGCCTGATATCAGGCTCGCCACCTAAGTGTTGGTTATTTATAACCCCGGGAGTCCGGACCTCTAGGAATTAGAGTAAATTAGGGCGCGGCCAAACGTGTCTTTTTAAGGTATCTCCTAAAATACATGTGTTTTTAGAACCCTCTGCACGCTATCAAAGAGAGCAAAACGAAATTCGTAAAATTAATGGTCAACCGGAGACTAATCTCTAAACCGCAGACACATGCAACTGCAAGAACCTTCTTACCAACTATGGTAAGCTAATTTATATTATGTAGTGAAGTAACTTGCGAATTTTGTATCGCTTTAAACTTTATTAATAAGAAGATTATCAGTAACATCATATTCGGTATCGGAGTGAATTTATCAGAGTCAGATTAACGAGCATCGACTAAAGATCTTTCATTATGTACAATTCGACATATTTTTAAAGGGAGGATTGTTAATTTTTTAAATGAACTTCGTTAATAATAACTGTTACATCGTCTGGGATATTCAAAGAAGTCAAACTTATTTTTTTCATGCTGAAAATTATCGATTCTACGCAAAATGTTATAATTTCTACGGAAAAATCCAAGTTAATTTCTTAATTCAAATGAAATCCAGTGCAATAGCAAAATTGAATAAGAATCTGCGTACATTTTAAAGAATGGAAACATCAATGACCATACAGACTGCTAATTTTTGCTTTTCTGACGAAATGACACCTTGAGAATTATTACCTGCCTCTGTTTGAATAAATCGTTTGGCAAAGCAAAAATTGGTTGTCAAATTAGACACTTCCATGTTCAAATGGGCCGAAATTCTTAACACTGTTTCACTGTATGGCACTGCAATTGATATTCGTATATTTTTATTGAAGCCATATTTTTGAAGGAACAAAAAGAAACTTTGGGCAATTTATCATATTCTGTGACATTAAGGATACTTTTATTAATGATTTATGAAATAGTTCAATCAAATCATAGACATACAGCCAAAAATGTCGGCTTGAAGTGTCTTACCTGAAAATTAGTTGGTACCCGCACTGAAGGTGGCATCTGCACTCAGTCGATGAGAAACAGAAAGATAATCGAAAAATTTGTAAAGTCAAACTTCAAGTTCAAGGATAGAATGGAAATCGCCAATTAGGGAAAATGTAAAATGAATCGTACCATGGCATGGTACCAAGGGAATGGTAAAAGGGTTTAGATGGGGAAATAAGGATAGGAAAACGTACCGAGGGATTGTACCAGCCACCAGGTAAGGATTGTTTAAACTTTAAGGTCAGTTAGTTTTCGAACAACGTAAATCGATCGGGATCACAGTAAATCAGTATACCTTATCACAATCAGTTGTTAAGTTCCGAACTTTCAAAAACTAATGTGCTCCCATTCACGGAATAGACAGTTACCCGGCAACGCCCGCTCATGATGCTTCTCCAAGCTCAAACAACTGTCAACAAAGACTAGTTTATCAATCATTCGTCTATAATAGTTATACATGACATTTCGAAGTGAAGATATCGGTCTAATTGGTTAATCATGGGCAGAAAAAACCTTAACCTGGTAAGTAACCTTGTTGCCTGAAAAGTGAATTCTATCTGCACAAAATTTTATGTTTTCTGCACTCAAAAAATATCTCAAGGCCCGATTTGTTTCATGTTTCCTATCCTAGTCCTATTTTTAGTATTCACATATTGTTAACCACGTATCACTATGAAAAGAAAGCTATGGGTTCGTTTAAGAATCTATTTTTTTGTGAACAATGTTCTATCTAAATTTGGGCTTTGAATGCGGGTCAGCCGTACGTTGGCATACGATATATAATCATCGAAAGGTCACTGAATGCTGATCATTGTCCTTAAATATTTACTGCGTTTCACTAGGTACCATGTTACCACTCATTAAAAACAGAAGATCTGAAGATTGCAACTAGGCGGAGGATTTGTTGGTTGTTTGAGCTAGTCATACCGGCGACAGCGTGGATATCAAAAAATGGCGATGAAATTGCGGTAAAAATCAATGAAATTCTGGAAGAATATGCCCGGGAACTCGCGTAAAAGTCTTCCAAAAATGTATTTTGGTTATCTGAATTTTATAAATTAGATTTAGTTCATTGTGTTTAATGTGATGAAGTAATCGATATATTAACTTGTGAGTTAATATATAACCCTTTACTTGGTCATGGACGTTTTTGAGCAAAATTCTATCGCAAGTTTAACGGAAACGTATCAAATTAAGCTCGTGTTTCTCACTGTGCAGCATGCATCATGATGAAATAATGGCGTACTGTTTTTAATTCGTCCCATCAATTAATCAATAGCGATTGATCATTGATAAACTATAATTGGCCTGCCGTCAAATGTCAATATTTCAGACGTCTATTAATTTAAACAAATCAATTGATCAAGGCATTAATCTTGCAATTATATACATATGATTTTTTGCTCTAGACCACGCAAAATTAAGTAAAACTCTCATAAAGAGAATGTAAGTTTAAATAATTGAACAAAAGTTTAAATAATCAAACAAAAGAGAGATATGACTATGAGAGAATCACGAAGTATGATTCTATTGGAACTTTCAATAGAATCATAGTCATACTTCTTGATTCTTCTCTTTCAATGAAAATGCCACAACATTAATTGGGTAGTCAGTCAACATATAAACTTGTATGCTTATAATAATACGTTAGCCTTGTAAGGGTGAAATTGTTTTGGTTGGGTATTTAAACTGGTACATTGTACTTTACCCATTATCCGCGCCGCGCCATTCGGAGTCTCCACATACTTGAGTCATCAATTAATATTTATATACGGCATACCTCTCAAACCGTATATTTCCCTATATCGGCAGGCTATTTAAACAATTATGATGATTTTTGTAGGTACGCGAGTTTGATTTTGAGTAAATTATAATCAGTCATCTTCAGTATGCTTAATTATAATAGGAGCGAGTACGTTGAAATGTGATGCCATGATAACCAATTATTCCCTTACTCTTTCTAGAATATATAAAAATTGTATAACGCAAATGATTTCCTCAAAAAGTGGATGTTTCACAACATGAACAACTATTGAGTTTGAGCCAGCAAATTCATTACTGAATCACATAATAAATTGTGTAATAAATCCTGAATTCCCCGAATAAAAGAGGCGGTTAGGCTAAACAAATAGCGGTCAAATTGTTAAATCTATAATTAGAGATACAGAGAAATAGGTAGTGCTTCATATTAGCAGTACTTAACGTCACTGAACGGTTCAGTGAACCTTACATCATTTGCTATGTACCTTACTCGGGATTATTATGACCGGGATAAAGTGGTGGGTTTAAGGTAATTTCGCCATATTTTTCCCGAACCACATTTTCACCGGTCGTTAATAAACCCGCCTACTCAGCTTTTAGGGTTCCCAAGGGGTATGGGTGCTCATATTTTAATCGTTGTCTGATATTCACTAAAGAAGACTATTGGGACACTTGTTGTAGGTTTTTCGACTTCATTTGGCTAAAATTGCAAAAAATTCACCTTTTTGCCCAATTCTTGTCATATATCCTTATTGTCAAATTTGATTTAAATAGGCCAATTTTTAATTTCTTAGGTATTGACTATCTCTACATAATGAAATAGGACTCAAAGTAAAAGTAACAGTTAAATTAAAACTTGAATTAATTAAAACTGATGAAAGGGATGATCCAGATGAAGATAACGAAGATGATTACAACTTATTGGAAGACTAAACAACTCTCCCTTTATCTTAATATCGATCTGGTTGTTACGCTTCAAATGTTAAAAATTATTTTCCATCTAGTTTGATTAACCACGAGTCATTATTTCTGTCTACTTTCAACAATTATTGATAATTCGACTTGTTTCACAAGTTTTAGCAATGCGAAAATTTCTAAACTTGCTTATCTCTAATAAGGAAATTTACATCCGAGACAAAATTTTTGAATCTAAAATTGAAAGGTTGGACACCGGTAAAATGGCGACCGGGAAAATGTGGTGGGTTTTGAGCAATTTCGCCATATTTTTCCCGAACCATATTTTAACCGGTCGTTAATAAACCCGTCGTAATAATCCCGAGTAAGGTAGTTACATGTTACAGTCTAAATTTATCATGTGATCAGTCGGATTACATAACGTGAGACTTGTCCATTTAAAGATATATA